AGATGGATGTTCAAAATGAGAATTCAATAATGTTCCATGGGAGCTGTTCGAAGAGTTACAGGTACTATGGGGACACTTAACAAGGGGTCCTAACCTGGTCTAGGAGTCCAGGAAGGCCTTCCTGAGGAAGTATGATTTAAGTGTCTTCTAGGAGCACAGAGACTAAGGGGACATGGATCTGTAAACCAATAAAAACAGAGCTATGATGATGGATATAGAAGCTTGAGAGGGGAGTCTTGCTACACCTGTATTAGAGTCAAGGTAGATTTATTACCCAATCCCAAGTGTTGCTGTCACAATTTGGACACATCCAGAAAATTTTCCATAGGATTAAGTATTTAAATGTGTGACAGTAAGCAGGTGACTAAGATTCAAAATAGCAACCTGCAAAAAATAATAGGACGTCTTCCTGCTTCAGCTTCTCTTCCTGTCTCCCTCTCTCCCTCTCTGTCTCTCCCCACCCCTTCTCTCTTTCTCTCTCTCTCACATGCACACACACACACACATATGAATCTGGTTAATCTTGCAAGTAAAATATAAGATGTACACCATGGCCTCCTAACTCAACTCATATTAACAGCGGGTCTTGAGAGTATCTCATTACCAGATCTTGATGATTTGTATATAAAATAAAAGGAAGGAGTCATTTCCATGTTTTAACTCTGAAGCTTTTTCATAGCTATCCGACAGGAGATCAGGCAAGACTTCTAAGCAATCCCTGCCCTGTCCCGCAACCCCCCAGCCCTGCGAATCTGTGAGGTTCGTCGTGGTTAGAAAGCTGAGGATGCTCGGGGGCTGGTGAGATAGCCATAGAGAAGATCGGAAGAGTTGCCCTAACCCTATCTTCACCACTAACTTGCAGGGTGATCTTGGACAAGCTACTTCCTTCCCTGAGCCTCCGGTTCCCCACTTATAAATAGAGGAAGTTGGAAAAGTCCTTTTGAACTAGTTTTATGGATGTGTGGAAAGGACCCTCCACCTTAGCCTATCCCCCCAGGCTAAAGCGGTTCCCTGTGTTATCTTCTTGGCATTCTTCCTGGTTAGCACTTATCACTATCTACTTCTTTCTATCTATGTATCTATCTCTGTCAGTATTTGCCCTCCCCCAAGACTTGAACTGCAGAGGAGCAGAGACAGTGCTGTTGACCACTGTGCTCATGTCTTCTAGCCTGTGCCTGGTACACACGAGGAGCTCAATAAACCTTTGTTGCCCGAACTGTTTCCCGCAAGCTCTCATCCCCACGCCAGCCCTTCTGGCTGGGTCCCAGAGAGCAGTGGGCTTCCTAACCGGTGTCTATGAGAAGCTCTGTGCTGATGGATGTGTGGGGTTGACATTCCAAAGGGTCCTTTTGGTGCCACCATTGAAATAATTACAACCACAAGCCCCTGTTTCAAAAAAATGCCCCAGTCCTTTCCAGGGTGATGGAAGAAATGAGGCCAGAATCAAAAGCTCAATCAGCAGTCAGTTGCTGCCCATAGTGTGACAGTGGGGATTAGCAAACCCTAATGTGGAATGTTTTTCAAAGCCAAGAATTGTTAGACATTGTGAAGTCAGCACTTCTCAGAGTGTCTTATGGAGTTGAACCACCTTATGTCAACCATTACTTTAGCCCTATTCACTCGTCTGTTCCTTTGTTTGGACAGCACTTTTTTTTTTTTTTTTTTTTGAGTAAGATTAGCCCTAAGCTAACATCCACTGCCAACTGTCCTCTTTTTTTTTTTTGCTGAGGAAGATTGCCGGTGCATAGGTCCACGCCCAGGATCCAACCCGGTGAACCCAGGCTGCTGAAGTGGAGGGCGTGAACTTAACCAGTATGCCACTGTGCGGCCCCAACCAGGGAATGGATCTTTTGTCTTGCTCAGTGTTGAATCCCCAGGACTGAATGGTGCTTGTACCTAGTAGGAGTTCAGTACGTATTTGCAGAATGAAGGAAACAGTGTCACCTAAAACAGATCGAAAAAGTGCAATGCAGACTGCAGAGGCACAGCTTAGCCTCAGCCGGGGAAATTAGATGATCAAACTGAGAGGGACCATCGAAGTCAGTGCTTCCTGCCGCCGTGCTCAGCCCAGTTTTACAAAGCAGGAAACTGTCACACATAGGGAGAGTGATTTGCCTGGGTCACACAGTGTCATGAGATGAATTTTTTCCCCCCATTCATATGTTGAAGTCTTAACATCCAGTAACTCAAAATGTGACAGTATTTGGAAGCAGGTCTTTAAAGAAATGAGTTAAAATGAGGTGATGTGGGTGGGCCCTAACCCTATGTGACTAGTGTCCCTATAAGACGAGGAGATCAGGACACAGACACACGCAGGGGGAAGACCATGTGAGGACACAGGGAGGAGATGGCCATCTACAAGCCAAGGAGGGAGGCCTCAGAAGAAACAACTCTGCCAACGTCGTGATCTTGGACTTCTAGCCTCCAGAATTGTGAGAAAATAAATTCCCGCTCTTTAAGTCACCCATTGTGCGGCACTTTGTTACGGCAGCCCCAGAAAACTGATCCGCACAGTCAGTGATGTCAAAGTTAGGACGAGAAGCTGGGTCTGCTGAATCTCTACCCTGAGCCCTTTACGTGGCACCTCCCAGCTGGCCACTCTGAGCTCTCCCCAGCCCCCGCTCCTAGTGAGGACGATGACGCTGATGACGACGGCTGACTCGGCTGACTCGTATATAGTGCCTATCACGTGCCAGGCACTCCCCTCGGTGCTTCACAGACATTAACTCATCCAGTTCTCCCCACAGCCCTGTGAAGTAAGCACTATTATGCCCATTTGTACAGACGAGGAAACTGAAGCACAAAGAGATTGAGTAACTTGCCCAAGAGCATACGGCTTCTCCGTGCTGCAGCTGGGACTCAGGCCCAGGCCGTAGGCTCCAGGAGCATGCCCCAACCCCCGGTGCCATTCTGCTGTGCTTTGTCTAAAGGCCAAAGGCAATCTCAAAGATGAGGGGTGAGGATGGCACTTGGAGGCCTCACTGGGTTTGCTCTCATATAGCCAATAGTTACGGAGATTCTTATCCCAGTCTGAAGGAGCTCAGCGGAGGCATAAAACAAATGAGCAGAAGGGAGCAGGATCCTTGCTAAAGACTATAGTGTTAGGATTTGTTTGTTCTAGACTCTTCCGATGTGTTAGGGCATCGATATAGCAGATTTCCAGCCTCCCTCAAGTTCAAAAACATCTTCTAACTCAGTCCTCGAAAGTGAAAGCACCAAAGCACTTCAGCCAAAGCACTTTGCAGTCAGAGACCTGGGTCTGAACTCTCTCGACCACTTACCAGCTAAGGGACTTTGGGTTTATGAAACCAGTGTGAATCTCAGTTTTTCCTTCTGGGAGATGGGGAAAGTAACACCCATGTCACTGATTAGACATAATATATGCAAACACACTGTCACAGGTGCCAATAGCTGATAAGTGATCAATAAACAGAGCTCTTATTAGTTGAGCAAATGACCATACCCAAGGCTCTCTCCTCTGTGGAGCCCTGCCCAATGTCTCATCCTGGTCCGTTCACATTAATTGCTTGCTGCTCTGGCTGTTGCTATTTGTCACCCAATTTGTCCTTCCTTGTGTCATAGAATTGATGACACACGTATCCATCCACCCATCCACACAATAAAGTTGTACTGTGTTTTCCACACCCATTGCTGTGCCAGGTACTGGGAGTTCAGAAATGGATAAGACATGGTCCCATCCTCAGAGGGGTTTGGCTTCAGATGCAACTCAGGGCTGGTGTGCCCAACAGGCAGGGGCACTATAATTATAATAACAATAAAAATTTTTAAAATTTACAATTACATTATTATAGTATTTACCATGGAAAAATCCAGCACTTTGTTGGATTTCTAGACACTTACTTTATGATTTCGAATTTTTTTTTTTGGTGAGGAAGATTTGCCCTAAGCTAACATTTGCCAGTCTTCCTCTTTTTATTTTGCTTGAGGAAGATTAGCCCTGAGCTAACGTCTGTGCCAATCTTCCTCTATTTCACATGTGGGATGCCACCACAGCAGGTCTGATGAGCAGGATGTAGGTCTGCAACCAGATCCGAACCCTGGGCCACCAAAGCAGAGCGGGCAAACTTAACCACTACCCCACCAGACTGGGCACTAATTTGGAATTATTTTTACAGAATAAGGAAGTTACGTTTTTCAGTTCTTCTCCAGTTTAACCTCTAAAGATCGTAACTTGGTTCGGCTTGGCAACAGACAGATTAAGGAATAATTATAAAGACCGTATTAAGTGCTGGGCTAGAGAAGCTCCAGGTTTTTTGGAGGCTGCGGCAGGAGAGCCCCTTGGCCCACTGCAGCTCCCCAAGGGCAGGAGCCAAGCCTCGTTTTTCCTAGCTGTCCTTGTAGCTGAACCAAGCTAAGACGCCCGCTCCTTCAGTGCAGGCCACAGGCGGGCGCGGGGCGTGCAGTTGCGGGGCTCCTACCCAGTCCTCCTGCAGCCCGAGGGTGGGACGAATCTATTTTCTGTTTTGTATGAGGAAATAGAGCCCCACATGGTGTAAGTGACTTGCCCAAGACCGCGCAAGCGGAGAATGGCAAAAGTTTTAATTAACATTCATTCACTCATTATACGTAAAACGTTGGCTGGAAGGCTTTGCATGCTTTTTCTCATTTAATCCTCCTGACAATTCTGTGAAGCAGGTACCCTTATTTCCTCCATTTCACATATGAGGAAACTGAGGTAAAGTAAGAGATTTTGCAAGCTCATCTAGCTATGAAGTAGCCAAGTCTGGACATGCTCTCAGTGGATGGTGGGTGACCTTGGGATAACAGCCTGATCCTGGGCTGCCCGAAGCAGGAAGGACGGGTGCACACCCACCTGGGCGAGCTGCGCGCACAGTCGACCTGGGGCTGGAAGCGCCCTGGGGGGCGGAGCCTTTGGCTCGCGGTTCCCTCTAGCCATCCCCGAACGAGAAGGTCCCGCCCCCAGCCAAGGAGAGGGCAGGGATTGGCTCTCCCGAGGCCGATTGACGGCGCAGGGCGCGAGTGGGGGCCGCGGCGGAGGCGGGGCCGCGAGCAGGAAGTGGGAGTGGAGGCGCTCGAGGCGGGCTGGCGCCGGGCTGTGGCCGCCACTTTGCCGAGTCGCCGTTGCCACCGGGGAGATGGAGGGGCCGGGGCTGGGCTCGCAGGTGAGTGCGGCCGGGAGCGCGCAAGCGGCCGTGGGGAGAGCGAGAGCGTGGGGGTGAGGCAGCTCCCGGAGGGGCCTCCGCGGGCAGAAGGGCCTGGGCCGGGGAGGGGAATCCTGGAAACATCGAGAATGATCCCGGGATTCTCTCCGAGGCGACCGGGATGGAAAGGCGAGGACAGCACCACGGGCCCTGCAGCCTCCACCCGCGGGCGGGGCGCCCCGTGCCTGGCAGGGACGCGTGGGGTCCGGGGGAGGAGGGCGGCCCTTCCTGGGAGAGGTGTCAGGTGACACACCTGAGTAGGACCAGCCCGTCTTGACCTTGGCCTGCAATCTGGGAGGTTCTGTTGATTTCTTTTCAGCTCAGGCGCCTGGGCTCTGGCCTCCGCCCCGCCGAGCCCTGTTTTAGTCTTGTTCCCACATCCTTGCTTACTCCTTGAAAGGGTTGAGGCTGTTTAGGCTGGAGAAAGCGGGTGGAAAGGGAGGTACGCCTTAGCGATCTGCAAAATCCCGAAGGAGTCTATTGTGTGGAGGGTCTTAGCAGAAGCCAGGTGTAGTTCCAGAGAACAAAACGGGCCAGTGCGAGAAGTTACAGGGGTACACGTTAGCTCCAAGAGAAAAGGAATTTTGTCCTTTTTGCTTATGGCCTTTTCCCAATGCCTAGAGTACTGACTGGCTTATTGTAGCTGTTCCCCTTATGTTTGTTGAATAAATGAAGAATATCCAGGTTCAGCCAACATTTATTGGGTGCTTAGCGTATGCCAGATGCTTTTGTCTGCATTATTTTATTCCAGAATTGAAGCATCCTTGGGAAAGTGATGTTATCCTCATTTACAGATGAGAAAACGGAAGCTGTCTCCAGATGGAGCCAGTTAGGTAGATTTTCTCTTCCTAGTGGGACTCAGGCAGGTTGAGATGATTGGATTAGCTGGCCTCTAAAACAAGCCTTTCCGATCTTGAGAGTGTTTCTCACGCTCCCCCTTTCCCTTCCTTCTTTCAGCAGTCACCCGTGTGGGCAAGTTGTCAGGTGTTCTCTTTAGGTGCTCCTGCATTTTGACAGGAAAAAAATGTTTTGCAAGCAGACTGGATTTTATGAAAGGGTGTAGAATCTTCACACGGAAACTATGTCTCATTTTCTTTCTCAGAGTCTCAAGGAAAAGTTGGTGGGAGTGATTATCTTAATTACTGCTACTCATTTACAAAAGCCTTCAAGAGTTTAAAGTGCACTTCCTCCTGCTGTAAGGAAGACAGCTCTGCCCCAGTTCCAAGACAGGAGGGAGAGGATGATTCAGCGGTTGGAATTAACAGGGCAAAGTAGAGAGATCACTGTTGTTGTTAATAATAATTGCTGTTAAATTTTTCAGTAATAATGTAAAGATCTTACCTGTATATGGTCCTCTGCAGTTTGCAAAATACTTCCACATTCTTGATCCTCACTGTGACCGTGTAAGGTGGGGAAGGATTATTATTCCAGTTTAGAGATTAGAACTGAGGCTCAAAAATTGGAGTCATTTGTTAAAGGTCAAAATAGCTACTAAGTGACAGAGCCAAGACTTCATTCGTTATTGTTCTAGGCGCTGGAGATACATCAGTGAACAGAACAGACAAAAACATTCCTGTGCTGGGTGAGCTTGGTTCTCATTCCAGCTTCAGTGTTGATGGATTCTTGCTGGAAATTGCCCTTACCATCTGTCCCCCAGTTTCCTCTCTGACTGCATTTTTTACTACTTTCTTGCTTGCTCAATCAGCCCCAGCCATGCTGGCCTCGAGGCTGTGTAACTTACCATTTGCTCCGTCTGGAATCCTCTTTTCTTACAGACCCACAGGGCTTATTCCCCTTTAAGGTCTTGACAGATGTCACCGCAGTGTGGCAGGCCACTAGCAGCCACATTCCCTACCTCACCTTCTTCCTTGCTTTATATTTCTCCTCAGCGTTAAATACCATTTAACAAACTTCTTTGTCTTGTTGGTTGTCTCCTTCCCTCCATTGAGCATGGGTGCTATGAGGGCGGCGGTTTTATCTGTAGTGTGCCCTACTGTGTGCCTAGTATCTAGGACCGTGCCCAGCACTGGTGGGTACTCTGTAAATAATTGTCCAATGAATGAACTTGGAAACTTAACTCTGGTACTTCTGTTAATGTCATGAAAAATCTTAATGACTGCCTGTCAGATCTGCCTGTTGCTTTTTGTTTTATTTACTAACCTGACAGGGTAGTGATCCTCATCAGAGTTTGAGTACGGTTTTCTAGATCTTGGTTTTCTCTTAAATTAATGTCCACTGTCACTTCAATAGTACCTACTTACTATTTAGAAAAATAATTTGATTTTTGATGTCTCCATGTGAGAAATATCCTAGTTATCCGTTAACTATGTTCCAGTTATCGCTGTGTAACAGACCACCGCCAGTCATAGTGGTATCAGCCAGCCATCGTCACGCTCGTGGACTGCGCATCGGGAATTTGGATAGGGCACAGCAGGATGGTTTGTTTCTCTCCGCTGTGTCCGGAGCCTCTGCTAGAAAGACTCGTAAGCTGGGGTGACTCGATGGCTGGGCCTGGTATCATCTGGCGGTGTCTTCACTCACGTATCTGGCAGTTGATACTGACTTTCAGCAGGAACACCTATGTGTGGCCTGGGCCTCTGCACAGCATGGTGGCTGGGTTCCACGAGTGAGCATCTCAAGAGACAGAAAGAGGAAGCTTTCTAAGGCCTGGGTCTGCAAACTGGTGGAGCATCACTTCTGCGGTCTTATGTTAGTGAATCAGTCACAGAGCTCAGCTTGGAGAGGAAGGGGCATAGACTCTCTCCTCTTGCTGGAGAAGTAACAAAGAATTTGGGGGCTTTGTTGTAAAAATCACCACAGATATATCCATATCTCTCTTATAATTTTCATAATATCTTATTCTGCTCTTTTTCCCCCAGTGGAGGAGAGTGTTCAGCTAGCAACATGTCTCTTTCTTAGTATCCCTTTTCCCCCCCTTTTTGGGATTTTGTCTATTGTGTTCACTGCCACATCCCTGTGTCTAGAACAGTGCCTGGCACATAGTATACATTCAGTAAATATCTGATGAGTGAATGAATGGAGTATAGCAGGAATCAGGTCATATGCATCTTTTATCCCTAATTACCTGGTGATTGGTACACAGTAGGTGTTCTTTACATTTCCCTGAATGAATTATCAATGAAGACTCTTATGAGTTTGCTGGTTCATGAGGATTTGCGTAGTCTATTCTCTTACCTTCACAGTGTAGGCAGCTGTGTAGCAGTTAAGCTTGCACTGCCATAAAGGATGTTTATGTGGTGAAGTCTCTGCCAGTGCACATGTCAGTAATGACCGTGGTGACAGCCCCTCTTAGAACCGAACAACGTGGACTTGGAGGGAATTTTATAGCTCTGTTGACCTGCTCCTTTCATCTTACAAATGTGGGAACTGAAGCCAAAAGTAGGGTGGATGAGTAGCCACCATCGTGCCAGTGCCATGAAACCTGAGACTTTGGCCTTGTTCTCAAGGAGTTTACATTCCAGCATGGTAAAAATGAAACAACTAGAGAACACTTAAAGAAATTTTTTTGATAGCTAGAAAGTAGTTTCTAAGAAGGAATTGGTATCATGACATAAACTTTGCTTTAATCTTTGTGGTGGGAATAGGTTATTTTCCTTAACCGTTTTTATGTGACTCTCTCCAAAGTTGACCTCCCCCCGCAGGTCCTCCTCTCCCCTGTGGCTCTTCTGGTAGGATGTGGGGAGGCAGCGGCGTTTGGAGTGAAGGAGGTCACTTGCGGCTGTGGTCTGTGAGCGTTTTGATCACTCACTGCTCCGTAAATCAGTTTTGAGCTTGCACCTCTTGAATAAAACCCCACTACAATGTGAACAGTAGGATCCAAAATTTTCGTTTTTGTAACCTGTTGTGTATTGTGAGATGAGCAGAATGACGAGTGGAGCCTGACCAGGAACTCTTGGCTCCGGCTGCCCCATCAGGTCATCCCGGGCTGCCCCACTTGTCGCAGTTGATCCCTCTAACTTAATGTGTTAATGTGTTGTGTGGTTGGCTGGGTCTTAAGAAGTTCAGCTCCCCTCTATTTGATGTACGTGAGGGCCGGGGACAGAGCCAATCAGCATATTCATATTGTTGTGGGGCGTGTTATTGTAAGATTTGACAGTATGTTTCTAAATCATATTCCTTCATTAATAGCTCAATGTATACTCGTGGTAAGGCTTTGAATTAAAGATAGTAGAGATAAATCTGCCTCAAATCAGCATTTTTGAAGATTTTGAATTTTTTTTGCGGGAGGCTGGGTTTTTGTTGGGTCAGATTAGATTGTCTTTGTTTCACTTGGTGTGACTAATGAAGAGCGCCTGCTGTGAATGAGGTGTCGGCTCTGCCATTTTCTTGTTTGCTGGTACTTATGCTCTATTATCATCTCCATTCAGGCTTCTGTGTAGGAATCAGTTTAAGCTACTTGCTCATTTTGGAAGGGGTAACTTGGCTAAAATTTGATACTGTAACTTGAAAATTACGTAACCTGATGTCTACCGTAATATGCCGAAGGTCGCACCGTCAGCCCCTCTGGGTTGTGGCACTTTTCCTCCCCCTCCAGGCTGCCTTGTAAACAGACTGTAAGGAGTGACCTGCTTGACTTACAGATCAAGTGAGGCCGCCACTGCTAAAAATTAGTAACATGTAAAGAGCCAAATTTGTAAATTTTTGTGGTTTTCCCTTTTTTTTTTTAAAAAAAGATAAAAGTCATTATAATAGAAGCTTTAACATTTTTTCCCATTATCTAATGGGTCACTTCATGTGTGGCCTTGAGTGCACTTGCCGCACTTTGGAGACCATTGACTTTGAAAACAGGCTTTGAGTTTACATAATCATATTTAGGTTTTACTCTGATCTGGAATTAGGCAAAAAACGAGGATGTGAACAGAAGGTACCTCCTGTTCTCTAGTCTTTACTGCCCATTTTTGACATTTAAGCACATACTGCCTTCCATTATCCCTTTAGTC